TGGTTACTGCTGCATGCGGCGCCGCTGCCATTGTTGCCTGTTGAAGCTTTTTCTTCTTCTTTGCATGGCCACGATCCCTTCTTCTTTTCCTGCAAAAATAGAAAAGTTAGAATAAAACTAAAAGAAGCCAAACAAAAAGTGAAGAAGGCGGGATTCGAGCTCTCAACCTCTCGCACTCACAACTCCTTACACACAGTCTCTTGCCAATTGTGCTATTTTATTCATTATAAAGTGGCACTAAAAACCCTGTAAACTAAAAGAGCGCGCCACATGATATTTTCTTGCACCAATCAAACAATTGCACAACCCGTTAGTGGTTAGTTTAAACGCAACGCAAAATGAAATGGGATGCAAGATGAAACGACTAATCTTAGGGTAAAATTTGGGGTATTACATGTGCGTATTCATACAAATATTTTTCTTAAGAGACAATATACACTCTTGATTTTATTTTCAATTTTTTCAACGTGTCAGCGTGTTCTCCTTTTTTATTATTAAAATATATTTGTTTTCATTGATATTAAACTTATATATCTTCCCAATTACATTCTTCTTCGTCTCTAACAAATCAGTATTTTTCATTTGGACTATTTTCTCAAGCAGCACCTTCTTTAAACTTTGCTAAGCCAGTAAATCCTCATCTCTCATTTACAAATATCTAAAATTATTAGTCTCGTTGAACCATGTTACTTTGATTTTCACATCAAAATTAATCGCTATCTAATATCAATTGTTAAAACAATAATCAATATAGTAGATTTAAAATAAATAAAATTAAAAGATAATTAATACGATTAATCTTTATTAGACTAATCTTTATTAACTTTGTTCAGTCAATAATGTATACCTTTGCGACTTCCCCTTTATTTATGTTTATGAATTATTTAGGATTTTAATATTCCAAACTATAAATTTAATACTATAATTTAATTCAACTAAACTATAATCCTCAATTATCTTCAACAAACATTTAACTCTATTTATAATTATCTCTATAATATATTCAACAACTCATAATATTCTCAAGATTATGAATTATACTTAACTATCTAGTTAGTTTTTGGAGATCCTTTTTAATATATAAAATTTATAAGTTTACTATAGTCGTAATTGATTAGTGTGTGAGTAATAATCCCACTCTCCAGCATTCTTGTTTACCACATATTATGACATAATTTTTTTATACTTGCATTATTTTATATTTTATTGCACTAATTTAAAATTATATAAATGTCTTTTCCCTCTCAACTAACAAGAGCTAATCTATACCGTTGATTCCATATCTAACTTTTCACTCTTAATCGTGATCAAAATGTGATCCAAGTGATAACACTTTCTAAACAATAAAAAAATATTAATGACAAGGTGTGACATACACTTAGAATTATAAAAAATTCTTAACAATATTCATTCAAGATTTTTTGAGACAATAAGTATTAGCCTAGCATTGAAATTATATAGAGGAAATAAATGTCACTATTTCTAACGAGTATCACATGGTGATGCTGCATTATTGGAACATGGAAGAGTAGTACGACATTAATAGCAAGGTGCCCTAGTATATATGTGAAGAGTAGTACGACATTAATAGCAAGGTGCCCTAGTATGTTTGTATGTGAAGAGTAGTACCTCTCCTCCGTCTCATAAAAAATATTTTATTTAAATATTTTATTCTTATTTTTTAAATATTTTCAAAAAATTACTTTCATGCATTAAATTTTTTCATCCAAACACACGTTAAGAGTGTGTTTGGATAATGCAATTGATGATTTTTAAGAAATTCAAAATTCTGAACAATTTAAATAATTTAATTGAAATTCATTTATTTTTAAATTCTTTTGTTTGAGTGAAGTATTAAAATAATTCACTGTAAAAATTTTGGGGTTATTTTCATAAATTTTGAAAATTTTGTGTCAAATTTAATAATAAAATAAAGACTAATTTGCAATTTTTATAAATTTAAAGAGATTAATTTGTAAAATTTAAAAATTAATAAAAATTTATTTACAATTTTTTATAAAATTTTTAGATGTGAATTTAAAATTTTCATAAAATACGAGGATCATCTTACGAATTTTGAAAAATTAATAATAAAAAATTTAACATTCACATTACATAGAATAAAAAAACAATTTCAAATTCTTTACTTTTTATTGTTATTTGAAATTCCTTCAATTTAACTTAAATAAAATATTTTATAAATTTATATTATTTTAATAATTCTTCATATTTTTTATTTAAAATAATAAATTTTGATTAAAAATTATTTTAAATTCTCTCAAAAAATTATTTTCCTTCATAAAATTTTTTCAGCCGAACATACTCTGAAGAGATTAGGAATTAATATTACTGAAAAATAATACACTTAACAAACCCTACCTTTATTTGTCAGTATTTAAAATGTGTATTTAGTTTTTTACCTAATTTTCTTTAACTAATTTTGATTGTTCTAGTTGCTTGCTAGCTAATAAGACGTTAGTAAATTTTAAAAACAGTAACTAGAGAGTCATTAATTATCGTTAATGAAGTTAATATAAAAATTTAAAAACTGTAACACAATTTGGTTGGTCCATCTAGAATTAATATCTTCAACCTACACCAACGAAAACAGGCAATCAATTTGGGTGGTCCATCTAGAATTAACATCTTCAACCTACTCCAATGAGAACCCTGTTTATATGCATTCACTCTACATAATTGAGGCATACGTTGCATTTACCAATGTGTTCTATATGCATTCACTCTACATAATTGAGGCATACGTTGCATTTACCTTTGTCTTGCAATGATTTGGTATCAATTGTTGGATGTAAAATTTTAATTTTAGTATAGAAGAAATATTTACAATTTGTTATTAATTTGCATGTCATTGTTTTAGTATTGATACATGATCTCAACTACATGCTAAATATAGACAATGACTTGTTATAAATGACTTCTAAATGTTATTATTAGATAATACATCACTACACCCAGAATTTCAACCTAATAAATTTATTAAACAAAAATAATATATTGATATCAAGTGAAAATTTTAGCAAAATTAATAAATACATAACTTATTCACTCAAAATTTTATTTTATTTTTTATTTTTTAACTAATTAATTTAGTTTTTCACCTAAAAAAAAACTTCACTTAAATATTATTATTTCATTATTATACTCTTATTTATTAGTTTTTATTCCATTCAACTACTCTAGTAACTATAATTAATAAATATTTTAGTAAATAATATTAATTTTATCATTAGAATTAATACATTTAATTATTTTGTTAAAAACTGCGCATAACTCAAATCAAACACTTATTATAAAAACAAAGAGAGTACCTGTCTAATATAACTATATGTTAAGCTGTCAAGATAAATCAATAAATTATTTTCTCCTCTACATAAATTAATTGAATAGAAAACAAGAGCATATACGCCTCTATATTTTAAGAGTCGGAAAATACTTAAATTGACACAAATATAATCCGTAGTTTTATAATCAATCAATTATAACTTTTTTATTAATAAAAAAAATAAAAATAAACTTTTCTATCTCCTCATCATCACCTCCATATTTTTATTTAAAAAGAAATTAAATTTTAAATAAATTTAAAATTTTCTCTTTTCATAGTTTATATTTCTAAGAATATAAATTTTGGTGCGGTTCCATCCAAGTATTTCTCTTAAGAAACAATCTACGCTCTTAATTTTATTTCCAATTTCCCCTACGTGTTGTCATCGTGTTCCCCTTTTTTTTTATTAAATTATATTAGTTTTTATTGATATTAAACTTATACTTCTTCTCAATTACATTTTTATTCATCTTTGACTAATCAGTATCTTTCATTTGGCCTGCTTTCTAACGCATCGCCTTCTATAAATTTTGCTAAGCCAACAAATCCTCAATTATCATTTGTAATTATCTGAAATTATTTGTCTTGTTAAACCTTGTTACTTTGAATTTCACGTCAAAATTAATCGTCGTCTAATATCAATAGTTAAAACAACAATCAATATAGTAGATTAAAAATAAACAAAAATACGAGACAATTAACACGACTTATCTTTGTTAGCGTGGTTCAGTCAATAGTGTCTATCTCTACGACTTTCTATTTATTTATGTCTTATGAATTATTTAGAATTTTAGTGTTCTAAATCCTAATTTCATACTATAGTTTAATTCAGCTAAACTATAATCCTCAATTATCCTCAACAAACATTTATCTATATTCATAATTATCTTAATAATATAATCAACAACTCATAATATTCTCAACATTATGAATTATACTTAACAATCCAAAATAATCTCCAACAAAAAGGGCTCAACCAAATTAAAGTTCAGCACTCCAACAATCTAAGGCAAAAGCAAAAAGGAGAAGCTAATCAATCATACTACAATGTCTATAGCAATTGCCGAACATTAACACAACCTATAACAGTCTCCTACAAGAAGAAAAAAGCCTCTCAGTCAGTTAACTAATTTAGAGGTCGATTATTTTATGTGTGAAAAAAATAAATATCTTTTATATCTTAAACGGGAACAAGAAATAACAACAATCCAAAAACTATAAATATAAAATGATAAAGTAAATAAAGATAAATATATTTTCTTGAGTCAATTCTGTGACTTTCTCCTTACGTTGGACAAAAAACAATAGTAACATTAAGAATGAGAAAATAGATAAGCTAGGTGAAGCACATATCAACAAGTGTGACAGGTTCAAATATTTTAAAGAATTTTTCATCAATTTTTTTTTTTAAAAATCAAATAAATTATTGTAAACAAAATTAAAACAAATTTTATGGATGGTTTTCCATCCGCTCAAAAATAATGTTATCAGATAAGGTTGCTTTCATCCATTCATTTCCAATCCAATTCACACTCAAAACTAATATCATTCTCTCTCACTATATTATATAAAGGGTGCATGTGTCTTTGTTTTTCATTCCATCTAACTTCTTCTCTTCATCCTTTCTTATTTAAAATTTTAGCTTCATTGGTTCAATATGAAGTTTCATTTCTTTCACATTATTACTTTTTTCATGGTGGGTTGCTTACAACTCCATAAACTCAACCACTTTCATTTATTTAAATAGTTATTATTATACTCTATGTCTTTTATTTGACTTCTAAAAATATGATTAGTAATGTTAATATATTCTCAAATGCAGGTTGTGATACTGGCAACTAATGCTGAAACATTACCACCTCAACTTTACTGGAAGTTCATTCTTCCCAACACTCCAATGCCAAAAGCCATCACTAATCTTCTTACCAACTCTCCAATGCCAAAAATCATCACTAATCTCCAACTCCCTGGTCAGTCTCATACTAAAAGATTTATGCATATATATTAATATCTTTAAACCATTTCTAAACATTAATGTATATATGTAAATTTACTTCCACATGTTTAAAATTATTCAATTTTTGAATTTATCTCCTACTTTAAATAGGTGTAGATGATGCAAGCAAAAAAGGCTACGACGATGGAGGTGCAGCTGATGTAAAATCCGAAGAATCACCTAATCCCCTGTTTTACCACCGTTATGCTACAAAGGAGAATGATGTAAAATCCGAAGAATCACCTAATCCCCTGTTTTACCACCGTTATGCTGCAGAGGAGAATGATGAAAAATCTGAAGAATCACCTAATCCTCTATTTTACCACCGTTATGCTGCAAAGGACACTGATGTAAAATCAGAAGAATCACCAAATCCCTTTTTTTATCATCGTTATGCTGCAAAGGAGGCTGATGTAAAATCCGAAGAATCACCTAATCCCTTGTTTTACCACCGTTATGCTGCAAAGGACACTGATGTAAAATCAAAAGAATCACCTAATCCCTTATTTTATCACCGTTATGCTGCAAAGGAGGCTGATGTAAAATCAGAAGAATCACCTCTTCATCCCTTTTTTTACCACCGTTATGCTGCAAAGGAGAATGATGTAAAATCCGAAGAATCACCTAATCCTCTATTTTACCACCGTTATGCTGCAAGGGAGACTGGTGTAAAACCCGAAGAATCACGTAATCCCTTGTTTTACCATCGCTATGTTGCAAAGGAGACTGATGATAATTCCAAAGAATCACCTAATCCCTTGTTTTACCACCGTTATGCTGCAAAGGAGACTGGTGTAAAATCCGAAGAATCACCTAATCCCCTGTTTTACCACCGTTATGCTGCAAAGGAGACTGATGTTAATTCCGAAGAATCACCTAATCCCCTGTTTTACCACCGTTATGCTGCAAAGGAGACTGATGTTAATTCCGAAGAATCACCCAATCCCCTGTTTTACCACCGTTATGCTGCAAAGGATAATGGTGCAAAATCCGAAGAATCACCTAATCCCCTGTTTTACCATCGTTATGCTGCAAAGGAGACTGATGCAAAATCCGAAGAATCACCTAATCCTCTATTTTACCGTAGTTATGCTGGAAGTGAGACTCAATTGCATGCTAAACCAAATGCAACAATATTCTTCTTTGAAAAGGACTTATTCCATGGAAAAAAATTGTTCGTGAAATTCGTCAGGACCACTTCAAATAATGAAGAAATTTTTTTGCCTAGAGAAATTGCTAACTCGATACCTTTTTCATCTAACAAGATGGAATACATTCTCAATAAATTGAACATCGAGAAAGGGTCAAAGGGTGCTCGTATTGTGAAGAACACAATTAGTGATTGTGAAATGGAAGGCGTCAAAGGAGAGGAAAAACTTTGTGTAACATCATTGGAGTCCATGATTGATTTCATTACTTCTAAACTTGGGAAAAATGTTGAGGCTTTTTCAACAGAAATTAACAAAGAAAGTGTGTTTCAACATTATACAATAGCAGAAGGAGTGAAGAAGTTGGGGGACAAGAACAAAGTTGCTGTGTGCCACAAAGTGAGTTACCCTTATGTAGTATTTTATTGCCACGAAACAAATACAACTAAGGCTTACTCAGTTCCTTTGGAGGGTGCTGATGGAAGCAGAGTTAAAGCTATTGCTGTGTGTCACACTGATACATCAGAATGGAACCCGAATCATTTGGCATTTCAAGTCCTCAAAGTTAAACCTGGAACTGTTCCGGTTTGCCACCTCCTACCTCAAGATCATGTTATTTGGATTTCCAAGTAGAAGATCTCTTTTTTTCTTAAATGTTTAGGTGTATTGTGTTTGCTATGTTGTATTATTACAAGTGTGTTATTTTTTTCTTGATTTATTTGCTATGATGTATTAAGTCTAGGTGCGTTGTGTTTACTATTATGTATTATTACATGTGTGCTACTTGTTTTACTTTGATGTATTTGCTATGATGTATTACATGTGTGCTAAATAAAAGTTTCTTTGATGTTACGGCTCACTGCAACCTAAATAAATGTCTATCACCCCTTTTGGGCAACCTTAAAAATAAATTCTCAATTCGGGCTTTGACAATGGACGTTTCTGCACTTGCCAATTCTACAGATTCTAAATTTTCAAAATTTTCAAAACTATAACCAATTACAACTTTTACGTAACTAGTTACAGGCTGTTGCGATTGCTTTATCTCGTCGAAAACTATTGAAAAAAATAAGTGTGAGCAGTGTGAAAAAATCACACATTAATTAGACATGTGAAGATTTTAGCATTTCTAAGTGAAAAAACACACAATTAGCATCTTAAACTTTTGAGTGAATATATGATATATCTTTTACAAAAATATATTACTTTTAAAAATATCTCAAAAATAAAAAATGTTTCTTTGTATTGATCCGTCAAATAATCCAACAATGAGACTTTGACATAAAATTAGAATATTTCGTCTTGTTAGTTTTAGAAATATATAACGATTAATTTATAATCTTACTAGCATACAATTGATTTGTTTTATTATATTCACTCAAGATTTTTGAGATAATAATATGTGATGCGGCATTAATGGAACATGGTAAAAACAGAGAAGAGTAGTTTGACATGGATAGCAAGCAGTCATAGTATGTCCTTTTTGTGAAGAGTAGTACTAGTACCTGTCTGCAAAGCTTTAAAGATAAATTGTATTTCTATTTCTTCCATAGAATTCCAATAGTAGGCCAATAAGTTATTGTCTCAAAATTGCATTTCTATTTCTTCCATATAATTTCAATGGTAGGCCCAATAAGTTATTGTCTCAAAAAACCTTGAGTGAATAGAATACAAACAATATCATATACCCTTCTAAATTTTAAGAGCCAATATACACTATTGATTTCATTTCTATTTTTCCCTATATGTCAGCTTGTTGTCATTTTCCTTTTTTATTAAATTATATTAATTTTAAGTGATATTAAATTTATATCTATTTTATTACTTTCCCTTTCACCTTTATTTAATCCATATCTTCCATGTCGTTTAATCAGAACATCTTACCTATTATTTGCAGTAATTTAAAGTTATTTTCTTGTCGAACCTTTTTAATTTGAATTTTGCATCAAAGTTAATTGCTATCTGATATTAATTGTTAAAACATAGTAAAGTAAAAATAGATAAAATAAAATACAATGAATACAATTGATTTTTATTAACGCAATTCAATCAATAATATTTATCTCCACAATTTTTTCTTTATTCATGTCTCATGAATTAGTTTGGATTCTAATATTCCAAATAATATATAATACCATAGTTTAATTTAACTAAACCATAATCCTCAATTATTCTAAACCAACATTTTTAGATAATAATAATCAAAAGCTTCATCTCAGTATTTTAAAAACCGTAATAATTTTAGTTTTAGTATAGAAGAAATTTTAATTTTAATATAGAAGAAATTTTAAACCAACATTTTTAGTTTTAGTATAGAAGAAATTTTAAAAACCGTAACTAAACTATAATCCTCAATTGTTGGATAGTAAAATTTTAATTTTAGTATAGAAGAAATATTTACAATTTGTTATTAATTTGCATGTCATTGTTTTAGTATTGATACATGATCTCAACTACATGCTAAATATAGACAATGACTTGTTATAAATGACTTCTAAATGTTATTATTAACACTACACCCAGAATTTCAACCTAATAAATTTATTAAACAAAAATAATATATTGATCTCAAGTGAAAATTTTAGCAAAATTAATAAATAAATAACTCATTCACTCAAAATTTTATTTTATTTTTTATTTTTTAACTAATTAATTTACTTTTTCACCTAAAAAAACATCACTTCAATATTATTATTTCATTATTTTACTCTTATTTATTAACTTTTATTCTATTCAACTATTCTAGTAACTATAATTAATAAATACTTTAGTAAATAATATTAATTTTATCATTAAAATTAATACATTTAATTATTTTGTTAAAAAATGCGCATAACTCAAATCAAACACTTATTATAAAAACAGAGAGAGTACCGGTCTAATATAGCTATGTCAAGATAAATCACATTTATATCTCATCTACATTCCAATGGTAGGCCGAGGCCAATAAATTATTTTCTCCATTACATAAATTATTAGAATAGAAAACAAGAGCATATACGCCTCTATATTAATTTAAGAGTCGGAAAATACTTAAATAGACACAAATATAACCCGTAGTTTTATAATCAATCAATTACAACTTTTTTATTAATAAAAAATAAAAATAAACTTTTCTATCTCCTCATTATCACCTCCATATTTTTATTTAAAAAGAAATTAAATTTTAAATAAATTTAAAATTTTCTCTAATCATAGTTTATATTTCTAAGAATATAAATTTTTGTGCGGTTCCATCCAAGTATTTCTCTGAAGACACAATCTACACTCTTAAATTTATTTCCAATTTCCCCTACGTGTTGTCATCGTGTTCCCCTTTTTTTTTATTAAATTATATTAGTTTTTATTGATATTAAACTTATACTTCTTCTCAATTACATTTTTATTCATCTTTGACTAATCAGTATCTTTTATTTGCCCTGCTTTCTAACGCAACGACTTCTATAAATTTTGCTAAGCCAACAAATCCTTAACTATCATTTGTAATCATCTGAAATTATTTGTCTTGTTAAACCTTGTTACTTTGAATTTCACGTCAAAATTAATCGTCGTCTAATATCAATAGTTAAAACAATAATCAATATAGTAGATTAAAAATAAACAAAAATAAAAGACAATTAACACGACTTATCTTTGTTAGCGTGGTTCATTTAATAGTGTCTATCTCTTAGTGGGCTTTCTGAAGGAGGTATTGGGCCTGTTTCTAAAGGTAAAGTTAAAAAGAAAAAATTACTTCATGAGGTGTATAACAGTATTAAGATACCCTACACCCACTCGTATTTTTCAACTCTGCTACATACTGCCCCTAAGGACATCATTCGCCCTGAGCTGAAGGTTAAGGATAAGAAGGAAAGGAAGAAGGGCAAGCTGGCCAGAGAATTTCCAGGATCTAGTTTAATATGTTGTGAATCGATTACGGATACTGATGTGGAAAGAGGCAATTCGAGATGCAGGAAAGCTATTGAAGATATTCCATCAAAACTGGGAAATTACATTAACGCTCTGGGTATTCAATGCGAAGACGAAGAGAATCTTGGGCTTATCTTGAGGAAGTTGGACATGGAAGATAAAGAGGTTGTTCTAAATAAGAAGGATGTAGCTAGAGGTGATCCATGAATATTGTAACCTTCAATGTTAGAGGATGTTGTAGTTCCGTGAAGAGAAGGAGAATATCTCAAATTATTCAGAGAGGAAATGTTGATATTTGCATGATTCAGGAAACTAAGTGTAATAAGATGGAAGCAGGCACCGTTAACAGTATGTGGAGTATTGTTGACAAGGATTGGTCAGCTCAGAACTATTAGAATGTTAATAGTAATTCATATTTATTTAGTTATACTATTTTCTTAGCCCCTAAGTTTGTTAGAGGGTATTTTAGTATTTTATCTTATTCTAGTAACCCTAGTTTTAGCTTATAAATAGGGTGACAATCATTGTAACTATAATCATGTTTTGTAGCCGTCATTCTCTTTAATAGAATATTTCCCTATTTCATCATTTATTCTATCTTTGCACCAACAATTGGTATCTAGAGCTCCGATTCAGATTCATTGGGAAACACGGGAAACACGAGTGAACGTGAGGTCTTGTGTGTTTGATTTTGTTTCTCAGATTCTTGTTGAATCTTGAACAAAATCTGATCAGAATTTTTTAATTCTGTGGGTTGGGAAACACTGTGTGAGAAAACTCTGAGTGTATTGTGCAAAGTAGAAGATGAACGGAAACGGCAACATGAACACCAAACTTCCAGTATTTGACGGTAAAAATTGGAATCGTTGGATGATCCAAATGTGTGTACTGTTTGGTGCTCAAGATGTTCTGGATCTTGTCACTGATGGTTATGTTCCGGTAGCAACAGATGCGACTGATGAACAGAAAAACACGCAGAAGGAAGTAAGGAAGAAGGATCAGAAAGCATTGTTCTTCATTCATCAATGTGTGGATGTAAACGTGTTTGAGAAGATTGCAGACTCTACAACAGCAAAGGCTGCATGGGACACTCTGGTGAGATGTTATGGTGGTGACGCATCAGTGAAGAAGGTGAAGCTTCAGTCCTTGAGAAAGCAATATGAGAATCTCAACATGAAGAATAATGAGAAAGTTTCTGAATACATCTCCAGAGTGATTCTGATCACTAATGAGATGAAGGCATATGGAGAAACTCTTTCTGAAGAAACAATCATGGAGAAAGTGTTGAGATCCCTTACTCCTCAATTTGATTACATTGTGGTAGAAATAGAACATTCTAAAGATCTGAGCACAATGAGAATTGAAGAGCTGCAGAGCAGTCTAGAAGCGCAAGAGTTGCGTCTGACTGAGAGAAACTCTGAAAAGGAAGTAGAACAACAGGCTCTGAAAGCAACTTCTGATAGGAGGTATCAGAAGCAGTCAGAAGCCAGGAGAAGATCTGATGGTGGTCAGAAGTCAGAAAGCTCAACCTCTGATAGACAAAAGAATGCTCAGAGGGGAAAAGAGAAGTATGACAAAAGAAAAATACAATGTTACTGTTGTAAGAATTTTGGCCATTTTGCTAGAGATTGTTGGTCAAACAAGGAGAAGAAATCAGAAGAAGCAAATATAGCCAGAGGCTCTGATGACGAATCTGTGCTGTTGATGGCCTCTGAATCTGATAA